CTGTGGTCCAACCACTTTTAAAGAAGCCTAATTTAAGCACTACAGATTTTAACAATTTTAGACCCATTACTAAACTCCCGTTTTTATCTAAGGTTTTAGAGAAAATTGTTTCTATTCAGATTTTAGATTTTATTAACAATAACCACATCTTTGAGAAATTCCAATCCGGTTTTAAAGCATAACACAGTACTGAGACAGCTCTCCTTAGAGTTTTAAATGACCTTCTTTTAACCACGGACAGCGGAGAGTGCTCTATTTTAATTCTTTTAGATTTAAGCTCTGCCTTCGACACTATAGACCACGATATTTTATTGGATCGCCTCAAAACGTGGGTTGGCATCAGAGATACTGCACTTGGTTGGTTTCATTCTTATCTTTTAGAAAGAACCTTTGCGGTCACCATGGGTGATTTTACCTCCTCAACAGCCTGTGGTGTGCCGCAAGGTTCTATTTTAGGCCCCATTTTATTCTCTATTTATATGCTCCCCCTAGGACACGTTATGGCCCGTCATAACGTGTCCTTCCACTGCTATGCGGACGACACACAGATCTACCTCCCGCTGAGACCAAACGACCCTGGAAGTCTGGCTGCTGTGGTCGACTGTTTTAATGATGTGAACCGTTGGATGGCCCATAACTTCCTTCAACTCAACACCTCCAAATCAGAAGTCCTCCTCATCAACCCGCCTCCATCCATATCCCACATCCAAACCCACCTCGGCCCCCCTGTCCTCAAACATCACTCCCTCCGCCCGTAACCTCGGTGTCATTTTTGATTCTCACCTCACCTTCCGCTCCCACATCAATAAAACCACCCAAACCTGCTTCTTTCACCTCCGCACCATCTCTAAGATTAAAAACATTCTCATCTCCATAAAGTCGTCAACGCCCTCATCTTCTCCCGCCTCGATTACTGTAACTCCCTCCTCTCCGGTCTTGATGCTAAATCCCTCTCCCGCCTCCAACTGGTTCAGAACGCAGCAGCCAGACTTCTCACTGGTTTTAACAGAAGGGAGCACATCACCCCTGTTTTAGCGTCCCTCCACTGGCCCCCTGTGCGATTTAGAATTGATTTCAAGATTTTACTGATTACTTTTAAAGCTCGTTTAGGTCTGGCACCAAGCTATATTTATGAACTTTTAACCCCCTACGAGCCCCCCCGCAGCCTTAGATCCTCGGGCAGGTCCTTGCTGACCATTCCAAGGTCGAGGCTCCGGACGAAAGGTGATCGAGCCTTTTCTGTCCGGGCTCCTCGGCTTTGGAACGACCTGCCCGAGGAGATAAGGCTAGCACCATCAGTATCCTCTTTTAAATCTCTTCTTAAAACCCACTTTTATAAAACAGCTTTTAATTGTCAGCTTTAAACTTATAATGTTGTATTTTACTGTCTGTCCTGTCTGTTTTGTGGTCTTTTGTGTTTTGTGGTCTTTCCTCTGTTTGTCTTGTCTTCTTACATTCATTCTTATTTGTTTTAACTTTGTATTATGACTGATGTATTGTTTATTATGCTGTGCAGCACTTTGTAAACATTGTTTTTGAAAAGTGCTTTATAAATAAAGATTTATTATTATTTATTTAATAGAGTAGTCACGACGTCTGTCCCCTCCAAACCAGGCTTCGAAAACTCCATCAACAGGCAGCCTTTTTGGGGATTGTGTGCGCTCCATCGCAGGAGCCTTTCCGATCTGAAGGCCGCACCGGGACCTAGGGCGCCAAACCTCCTTTCAATAAAATACTCAAAACTTCCTGTTTTCTCGTCTCTCCAAATTGAAATGCAGCCAGCGAAAATTCAATTTGGTAGACGTTAACCAAAATTACCCCCTCCAGGCCGGCTCGCATCCCCAGCCTATCGCTCAGCAGACGCCCCCTTCCAATCATCTGTACCGACTCGCCAGCCGCATAAAAACGGAGAAACTCCCACTCTCGGCCTCTGAAGCCTTGCAACCACCGCCTCCCCTCCTCCTCCTCTTCACCCTGCCTTCAATCCGCCTTCAACCTGCTTCCCGCTGCCAAATGCCGCCACCAGTGCCTAGGTCCCGGGGGATTGTGCGCGCTCCATCGCAGGAGCCTTTCCGATCTGAAGGCCGCACCGGGACCTAGGGCGCCAAACCTCCTTTCAATAAAATACTCAAAACTTCCTGTTTTCTCGTCTCTCCAAATTGAATTACCTCTACTCATCGCTACTACTAGTATTTAAGTTCTATTAGTATTATTAGTTACCATTTCTTTAGAATTCTGCTTCAGTACAGTGCTTAAAGGAATAGTTCACCGTTTTTACATACTGACATATGTTCTTACCTTACCTTAGACTAGTTAATACGTACCTGTCTGGTCTTAGTCGCTGCTACTGTGTGTATTACAAGTCACGCTGCTTCTATTGACGGAAGTGAGCGAGAGAGAAGTCTCCGGAGAGAAGTTAGTGCGCAGAGAAGTTAGGAGCGCTACGTCCGCGCACTAACTTCTCTCCGGAGACTTCTCTCTCGCTGCTACTGTGTGTATTACAAGTCACGCTGCTTCTATTGACGGAAGTGAGCGAGAGAGAAGTCTCCGGAGAGAAGTTAGTGCGCGGACGTAGCGCTACTCAGATTACTACGCCTCACAATATAGTACCCGTTTTATCCGCTGAGAAAATCGACTGTTACATTTCTGTGTTACTATACTTTGCAGTGTAACACGTCACGTAACTATATACATTTAATAGGGAACACTTGGAAGAGTTTGGTAGCTTCTAGCGGGAGCTACCTTTTGGTGCTACAAAATATACAGAGGAGGCTGCGTTTGTGCTCCCGTTTTTGCTCCGTTTGCATAACAGAGCGCACGGACTAAGACCAGACAGGTACGTATTAACTAGTCTAAGGTAAGGTAAGAACATATGTCAGTATGTAAAAACGGTGAACTATTCCTTTAATACTACTGCTATTGTTTCAATTACACGACAAGTACTACGACAAGTACTACGACAAGTACTACGACTATACTACTAGTATTTCCAAAACACTACTTCTACTGTACTACTACTACCAATATTAGAGCAACTTGTACTACTACATCAACAACTACTACTATTACCTGCACTACTACTACTACTATTACTACTACTATTACTACTATAACTACTACTATTACCACTACTCCTACTACCACTCCTCCTCTTCCTCCTCCTCTCCCTCCTCCTCTCCCTCCTCCTCTCCCTCCTCCTCTCCCTCCTATCATTGTCAAAACTCCTGCATCATTTGTTGGTACATATTTTAAAAGGCCCTTGCCAAAGTTCACCTTGAAGCTCTCGGTAAACAGACTTAAAACGAGAGCTTATCTGGCAACCTTGATCAAGTTCAACTTCAACAAAACACTTTCTCTCTGATGTCGGAGGGAAACTGGGCACATTGTGTCCTCCTTCAAACACAAAAAGTCCCCAACACAAAAAGACAGCTGATGTACGCCCTATTAACTGTTAATGATTATGAAAATAAGTTAACACAAAGTAACGTATGTAAGCTTTGGACCTAGATCTAGAAAATTAATGTATAGTTCTCTCCATTCTCCCCGATACCTTACTAGTTTTAGGTTTCTCTGTTTTGTTTGGTTGTAATGAAGCGAAAGCAGAAAAAAGATTGTTTATTTTCTCTGTGGGAATTTAATGAGTGCTGCTGCCGTGGAGCTGGTGTGAAACTCAAAGACTCAAAGTAAACAAGATGTCGGGTGATTTACGTTTGCCAAAAATGAAGCCGAAGGGGAGGTTCAGACTGAAATACACGTGTGGACAAACTCACTGCCTTGCTATTGTCATTGAGCTTTCATATCATGCTGCAACCCTCCTCCTCCCCATTTCTGCCTCATTAGCCAGACCTGCTCTTAAACCTTTCTCCTTTGCTCCCACCACCAGGGTCTAGACCTTAGTGGGATTTTAATCTCATGATCTTTGACCAAAACTCAACAGACTTTAATTTGAAAAAAATCAAAGTTAGTATTCTTTGTAGACCCAGAGACTGAAACGGCCGCTCTGTGGGACTATTGGACTTATCGCTACCACTTCTCTGTTTTCCGGATATTTCTATTTGGACCAGAGATTATTTTAGTTTGAGGTCACATTAGGATATCGCCCTTTTGTGAAGGGACGAATCCAATTTCACGTGGGTAAATGTGAAAAAAAAAAATCATTTATTTTACAGAAGTGAAGGTCTCTAGTGTTTTCTCTGTGTTTGTGGATATCTTGTTCAGAGTAAACTATGACTAATACTCATGAATGAGAACAGAATTAATGTATGACATACCGCGCTGCAAGAAGAAAAAAAAACAATTCTCAAATTTGGCTAAATGTATCTTAATTGGAACATATTTTGACTGAATTGCCAATGGGACAATGCAAAATGATCTTGTTTAAAGAAGCTGCAAGAAATTAATGAGACTTTTCTTTTCCCATCGGAGAATCGAACACACAGTCAGAATGTGTCAGATTAAGATAAAAAAACTCGATTCAAACATTTAGTTCCTCATAATCTATCAGTTTTGCAGTGTATACATTATCGTTCTACAACCGTTGCGTGGCCTTGGTTCTCGTTCTACAGTCTGAGTCTTGCATCCACAGCCAGTCCGTCCGTGTAGAGCAGATCCCTCTCTCAATCTCTCTGAGGTTTCTCATTTTTCTCCCACTGGGCTTTTAGAGTAGTTCCTCTGATGCAGAAGTCTTTTAAACCAAGATGGACTGTGGTGATGATCCAGGACACTCTATATTCTACTACATTCATGGACATTGGTCTTTGGTCCAATGGCTCTATGTGTTTTTTATGATTGCATTTCTTGTCTTTGAACTGTTTGATTCTCGGATCTGTGTGGGTGATTCAATGGTTGTAAAGTCCTCTGAGAAAGCTACTGTTGGGATTTCGGGCGATACAAGAATAAACTGAATAGAATTGACACCATAAGTTACAAGCCTTCATTGAGCAATATGAGGTTAGCGCCTGGTCTAGACTTTAGCTAACATGTCTCTCTCTTCTGTGCAGGGAGCATTATGTGACAATGGTGAAGTGGATCAGTAAAACCAAGACGGCGGTGCGCTGGATGAACCGCGCTCAGAACATCTCCATTCTGACCGTGTGCGACACCACCACCGGCGCCTGTGTCACCGTGAGAACTCTCCACTCTCAAAGCCTCGCTGTGCATTTTTTACATCAAGCTTCTAACACTTTCTTTTATTTAAAGTCAGAAAAAAACTCTCTCTCTCTTTGTGGTCTCTTCACCTCGTCTGTGGTTTCTCCTCCTGGTCTCTCTCTCTCTCTCTCTCTCTCTCTCTCTATGGTGTCTCTCATTGTGTGGTTTCTTCACCTGGTCTTTGGTTTCTCCATCTGGTCTCTCTCTGGTCTCTCTCTCTCTCTCTCTATGGTGTCTCTTTCTGTGTTTTTATCACCTGGTCTTTGGTTCCTCTATCTGGTCTCTCTCTCTCTCTCTCTCTCTCTCTCTCTCTCTCTCTCTCTCTCTCTCTCTCTCTCTCTCTCTCTCTCTCTCTCTCTCTCTCTCTCTCTCTCTCTCTCTGGTCTCTGTCTCTCTTTCTTTGTGGTCTCTTCACCTGAATCTCTCTCTGGTCTCTCTCTCTCTGTGGTTTCTTCACCTCGTCTGTGGTTTCTCCTCCTGGTCTCTCTCTCTCTCTCTCTCTCTCTCTCTCTCTCTCTATGGTCTCCCCTCTCTCTTTCTCTCTCTCTCTATGGTGTCTCTCATTCTTTGGTTTCTTCACCTGGTCTTTGGTTTCTCCATCTGGTCTCTCTCTGGTCTCTCTCTCTCTCTCTCTCTCTCTCTCTCTCTCTCTATGGTGTCTCTTTCTGTGTTTTTATCACCTGGTCTTTGGTTCCTCTATCTGGTCTCTCTCTCTCTCTCTCTCTGGTCTCTCTCTTTCTGTGGTTTCTTCACCTGGTCTTTGGTTTTTCCATCTGGTCTCTCTCTGGTCTCTGGTCTCTCTCTCTCTCTCTCTCTCTCTCTATGGTTTCTCTCTCCCTGTGTGGTTTCTCCACCTGGTGTCCCTCTGGTCTCTGTCTCTCTCTGGTCTCTCTCTCTCTCTCTCTCTCTGTGGTTTGCCCACCTGGTCTCTTGTTTGTCTGGTCTCTCTTTTTCTGCTCCTTATCAACTACTTACACCCCTTTTATTTAATGAATTGAATATTATCTACTAAAATATCAAAACAATATCTTTGTGAAGGTTTAATGAGATAAATGAGAGTGTAAATAGTGAAAAATATTACATTTTCTGAAGTCAAACAGATGTATTTCTAGTTAAATGTCCTCACAGACTCTTCCACGGTTTGCTTGTACTTTTCTCTACGGATGGAAATAACCAAAAAAGTATCATTCCAATTTGCTCCTTATATTTATGTTCTATGGATCTACATTAAATGATTCTTTGTTCTGCTTCTACAAATGAAAAATCTGATTTAATTTCAAAACTCCCTGAGCGCTTTCATATTTTTTCCTAATATTTTCTCTCCTCTTCTGTCAGCTTGAATAATTCCTACACTTTATGCGGCGGTCGTTTAGCATTTGCTTTGTAGTCACGGGCTGGATTTGGGTTTTAGATTCAAAGGGAGAACTTGGACATGGTTTATTCATATTGGAGAGAAGTTACAAGGACCAGAGCTGTGTGGAGCGACACTTATTAACCTCCTGTTTAAGCACAGTCTCTTTATGTCTCTTTAATCAAGAAGTACGAGCCACAGATAAAGAAATCATTTTGAAGAGCAAGTATTGAGGTTATATCGTAAAGTCAAGTGTCTTTCAAAAAAGCTTTACACATGTTTACAAGCCGCACTATGTCGGAATTATTATTGACCTTGTGTCGACTTTTAATATTGGTTTTAGGATTTCACTGATTACTTTTAAAGCTCATCTAGGTCTGGCACCAAGCTACATTCCTGTACTTTTAACGCCCCTACAAGCACTTCTCCTGCAGCCTTAGAGCCTCGGGCAGGTCCCTGTTGACCGTTCCGAGGTCGAGGCTCCGGACAAAAAGTGACCGAGCCTTCTCTGTCCGTGCTCCTCAGCTTTGGAACCATCTGCCTGAGGAGATAAGACTAAACACTATCAGTATCCTCTTTCAAATCCCTTCTTAAAACCCAATTTTATCTCTCCGTTAGTTTTAAACTTGTTGAAAAAAATGTTGTTTTTCACTGTCTGCTTTGTCTTTGTTTTGTCTTTCTGCTAGTGTCTCCTCTGTCTGCTTTGTTTTTCTCTTTCTACTGTTCATTATTTTGACTTTGTATCATCATTAAATAGTTTATTGTGCTGACTGTACAGCGCTTTGTGAAAATAATTTTTGACAAGTGCTAAACAAATAAAGATGTATTATTTATCATTACCAGTTACAGAACAGTAGGAATGAGGAGCTCACAGCACAAAACACATGAACATTGAAAATATCTAAAAACTTTAGCTGAATAATGGAGTAAGAAAGTGTCTATTTTCGCAGATATCGGCTTAGATAGATAGATACTGTAGATAGATAGATGGATGGATGAATGGATGGCTGATAGATAGACAGATAGATGATAGACAGATAGATAGATAATTGTATTTTATCTAATACTTACAGCAATGCATCTGGTCCATCCAATGTTATTGTTTTGTCCATATTCAATAAATTACATACATAGAGTGATTCTTACTTAATTCCCGTTGGTCAAATTCATGGTCCAGCAGCAGAAACACATCCAAACAAACAATGACATCATTCTTTGCTCCAGCAGCAGAGGTGGTATAACTGCGGACTGGAACAGGACAAGATATTTTTAGAGTGATTTTCAAACAAAAAAGTAACACAAAATCCACACAGTTCATAAAAACTTTGATCCAACCAAACCCACCCCAAACAAGACCCAAACAGACCTCAGTTTGGGCTCCCCTGGTCTAGACTATATTCATGATGCACTTATATAATCCTCCTCGGCTTTCATAAGGGCATTTCTGAGTGACCTCGGAGTCCTGAGCCGCAGTAGTCGAATAAACAGCTTCACAGAGCATTAGAAAGTCGAGCGGGACAATAAATCCTTTCTGACATGAATTCTTTCTTTTGCAGAGACACGAGGAAAGCTCCGAGCTCTGGCTGTCGAAGCAGGTACCGCCCCTCGAGCCCCGTCTGTCAAACTCACACCTTTCTCATATTTCCCACTCAAAGACGCAGGGTTTATTCATAATCAATTTCCTTCTCCGGTCGTAAAACTTTGTAGCCGGCGCAATGTTCTGACAGGGGTTTTATTACAAGTCCGCTTCAGCCAAAGAGAGCCATAAATAAAAGGAAAGTTGTGGAGAACAGAACCTCCGTGTTTGTTGTGAGAGATTCTGGAACAGAGGCTTTTGCTGCAGATAGTGAGGGAAATAGTAAAAAATTGGCTGAGTGGTTAGCACTCTCACTGCTCAGCAAGAAGGTCCTGGGTTCAAATCCCAGCCGGATACAGAGTCTTCTCTAAGTGGAATTTGCATGTTCTCCCTGTATGGATGGAAATTAACCCTAGGACACAATCCGGAGTGATGTGTTCAGTAACATGTACTGTTCCAAACAAATAAACAATAACATGTACTGTCAGATTCAGATTAGAATATAAAGGATTTATTTATTTATTGATGTATTATTGATGTATTTATTTGATCATTTCTTGCAGTGTAGGAAAGTTACCGATGCATTGGTTTTTCAGTCTCTCACTAAAGCTGCTAAGTCAAAAGTGTGCTTTCTAATGCTGGATCTTTAATGCTGATGTATATTTTGCACATGAAATATAAACTTTGAAAAGTTCATGTTTCAAACTATCACAAAAACACTACAGAAAGTACGCAACAATAAGTCAAATCTTAAAAGTACAGATTGAACAACGATTTTGGAAGAGATGCTTTTTGTTGTTGTTGTTGTGATTGTATGTCACTGAAGGAAATACAAAAAATAAAAATAAAATGTAAAAAAATATATATAAAAAACATAATATTGTTACACGTAAAAACGTAAAAACCCTAACCCAACTTGAATCAAGTTTTAATTTCAAAGGTTTTTAATTTTCCCACTGATGACTGCTGTCGTTGTGTCCTTGGGCAAGACACTTAACCCCACTTTGCCTGAAGCCCCCGCTGGAAGATCTCAGCTCCTGTGGACTCACCACCTGCAGGAGGATCAGTGAGGGGCTGGTGCTCTGTGTACTGGGTGCAGCTCTGACTGACACCCCCCCGACCCAGAAATGGATTAAGTGGAAGAAAATGGATGGATGGTTTTTAATTTTAATCTGACACATTCAAACCAGATTCTCAAATGGGACAAAGACATATCGTCTCATTTCAATAACTGTCTATTTTCTCTCATTCCAGGGGAGACATTTATTTTAAAAACAAGATCATTTTGCTTTGTTCCATTGGATTTTTTTTTTTGTAATTTATATTTGACTAGTTTTCTTTTACAGAAAAAAAAATCCAAACTGTGAAATGCTTAATCTAAAAACATTCCACAGACGGTAAAACCAGAGCGCAATGGAGAATCTTGGTTTAAGGCAGGATGTTCTCAGATTAAGATGCTTTTCGCCAAATTTGAGACATTTAATATTAATGTTTCCTCTTCCATCTTGCATCGACACAGAACATACACACGACATTTGAAATCCCAGACTTTACTTCTGACTAATGTTGTGGTTGTATTTGTTGCCAGACGCAGGAGCCGGTTTTCTCTCGAGACGGCAGCAGGTTCTTCCTCACTGTTCCGGTCAAACAGGGAGGAAGAGGAGAGTTCCACCACATCGCCATGTTCACCTCACAGGTACTTCTACTACTACTGTTACTACTGCTACTACTAATACTGTTACTACTACTACTACTACTACTACTAATACTGTTACTACTACAACCACTACTACTACTACTTCTTGGGGGAATGGGTAGGAGTAGTTGTTGCAGTAGTAGTTTATTTGAGCAGTTTTACAATGTATTTTTACAGGTACATATATCATTTGAAAAAAACAAAATCCTTCAATTAAGCGAGACTCATAAAAACCCAACGTCTTGTTTGAGGCGTTTGAAAAATGTTTACTTTTAATTCATTCTTCTCTCGTTCAGAGTTCAATGTTTATGATTAATATTGTGGTTGTTTTCTTGATAAAATGAGCTTTAGCATGATGCTAACCGGCCATTTTAGCCCAGACTCTCAGTTGAATTGTACTTTTACACCGATGTTTTCAGACATTGGTGATATTTTCTCACTTTAAAACAAAATGTAATGGATTCTATGATTCTTTACAGTTTAGAGCGGACCAGAACGAAGTGAGACATCTGACGTCAGGAAACTGGGAGGTGACCAGGATCGTGGCCTACGACGAGAACTCCGACAATCTGTGAGTCAAAATTGGATGGAAAATGTATGTGTAAATACTGGAATATCCGTCTCGAGTCAGTCTATTTCTCTCCTCGCAGATATTTCTTGAGTACAGAGGGCTCCCCACGCCGACGGCAGCTTTACAGGTGAGCTGTTCCTACATTGACAAAACACTCATGTTTGTTAAAGTAAAACAGGCTCTCAAACTCTATTTCGAAAAGGTTTCACTCGAGGTTGATTCTGACGTCAAGGGGTGTCTCTGTCCCACATTTGTGTGTTTGCAAAACTCACAAACACTCAACATCTGTATGTAGGGGTGGGAATATTTGGACACCTCAGATTAGAATTGAGAGGCTGCGATTCGATTATAAAACAATTTTAGATTTTTAGATTATATTTTGTTGCCTTGTTGTTTGGCTGTTAGTAACAACCGCAGCCGTCTTTCCCTCCTCCTCCTTTGGATAGAATCATGCTGCGTGACTTTTGTATGTTGCCAAAGTATTTTATTTCTTGGTTAGCTCAGCCTCAGTTTGTTGTCGTTTTGTTTGTTTCTGTGTGCTGTGGATGCTCTCGGCCCGTTCTCTGTAGCTATTTGAAGATGGCTTTTACTGTATTTGAGTTCCGGTTCACTTGGTTCTCCTTAACGTTCTCGGTTCCTCCATGGCCGAATCGCAATTAATCTAAGAATCGTAAATTTCCCCCAGCTCTATATTTACTTTAAGCACACGCAGCTGCTTGGATTGAAACAGAGCTGAAGGATCAGTGTTGTAGACCGCTGGGCTGGATAATGTTTACTTTTATTTCTTAGTGTGTTCAGGGTTCAGTGTGTGGTTGTTTCTTGAAAAAAGTAGCTTTAAAATTATGTATAACATGCCATATTTGTCATGTGGTGAAATGAAAAGGGAACCCAAAACACAGGACTGAAAATGAAATGTAATTTAATCAAATGAATCCAATGTAACGACAAAATACAAAATACAGAACTGAAAACAAACCAGGAGGAAACATGGTGTAGACAAGGGACGGACGACAAGTGAGGAAAGCACAGGGAAAACATACACACAGGGACTAGTGAGGAAAGCACAGGGAAAACATACACACAGGGACAAGTGAGGAAAGCACAGGGAAAACATACACACAGGGACAAGTGGGAAAACCACAGGGAAAACATACACACAGGGACTAGTGAGGAAAGCACAGGGAAAACATACACACAGGGACTAGTGAGGAAAGCACAGGGAAAACATACACACAGGGACAAGTGAGGAAAGCACAGGGAAAACATACACACAGGGACTAGTGAGGAAAGCACAGGGAAAACATACACACAGGGACTAGTGAGGAAAGCACAGGGAAAACATACACACAGGGACAAGTGAGGAAAGCACAGGGAAAACATACACACAGGGACAAGTGAGGAAAGCACAGGGAAAACATACACACAGGGACAAGTGAGGAAAGCACAGGGAAAACATACACACAGGGACAAGTGGGAAAAGCACAGGGACTAAATACACATCAAGGTGAAACACATCAGGGCAAACAATCAACAGGCCGGAAGCAAACTCAAAACTACAAGAGAACAAATAGAGTAAAATTAAAAAAAACAAAAATCCAAAAGTCCACACCCTGAAATTAATCTTTGACGTCCACTAGGGGGACACAGCTTTTCGGTTGTTTGAGACGTCTGACAAGCACTGTTCTGGGAGTATCTCTCTAATTGTGTCTAAATGGTCATATATTTCTTTGTTCCCAGTGTGAAAACAGTGGGTTTGTTCCCGCGGCGGTGCCTCACATGTGACCTGAACAAAGCACACTGTCTGTACTTCGACGCTGACATCAGCCCCTCCCATCAGCAGATCATCCTCAAGTGTCAAGGTGACGTTCTTTCTTTTTAATTCAATTTTAATCATGTATGAGTGTATTTGTAATGTATGTACAATAATAATGTTACAATACATTATTATTATACATAATACTGATTGTAACATTGATAGGATTTTAACATATCAATGTTACAATCAGTCGTCAGAAGCGAAATGTCTCGTCTGGCGGTCGCTTGAACTTCTATAACAAATGTCACTTTATTTTGGCTTCTTGGAGGTCTTTGCCAAGCTGTCGATTCTCCAACACAGATCAGAGAATCAAACAGTTCAAACACAGGAAATGCAATTATAACAAACCATGGATCTATAATAATACCTGGATAGGGTATTACCAGCTCCTAGCTGTCCCACCCATGGGCACAGGCGGCGCCCGTAGTACTGCAAACTAAATTCACGTGGGCTACCCAGAAAAACTATGAGTTCTCATAGAACTCAATGTAAACTAAACCAGCTCGACCTCAGCTGACAGAGAACCTACAGCTTTCGTAAAGATTGAATTTTGTGGGGATTTTTGTGTCCCTTCTCAATCCTGAACTTTTTTTATTCTTAACCCTATGAACCCGTCTGCATCGGCGACGATGCATGCGCACATGTTTTACAAATGATCAATTTACTCGCGAACGATAAAACGTAGCAACTTACTTTTTTTCCTCTGTAAAGTACACATTCCGATTTGTCTGTGTGATGCACGGAGGATAAACTACGTTTGTCTGAAAGTCCGTGTCCAAAGCGTGACCCGTGAGGTACAAACAGCTGTGAGATACAAACACACGGGGACTGCCAAAGATTGTCAGAGAGTGAGATCTCTCACTCCTCTGTCTGTACTTGTTCTCCCACAGTTGAAACTACAGCTGGGATTGCAATAACCAGCTGAAGAGTGCGCATTATTGATAAAGACGATAATAAATACAGTAAAATGACTATGTGTATATGATGTATATACAGTGCCTTGTGAAAGTATTCGGCCCCCTTGAACCTTTCAACATTTTGCCACATTTCAGTCTTCAAACATAAAGATATAAAATTTTGATTTTTTTGTCATGAATCAACAACAAGTGGGACACAATCGTGAAGTGGAACAAAATTTATTGGATAATTTAAACTTTAAAAAAAAATAAAAAACTGAAAAGTGGGGCGTGCAATATTATTCGGTCCCTTTACTTTCAGTGCAGCAAACTCAGTCCAGAAGTTCAGTGAGGATCTTTGAATGATCCAATGTTGTCCTAAATGACTGATGATGATGATGATAAATAGAATGCACCTGTGTGTAATCAAGTCTCCGTATAAATGCACCTGCTCTTTGATAATCTCAGGGTTCTGTTTAAAGCGCAGAGAGAACCATGAAGACAAATGAACACACCAGGCAGGTCCGAGATACTGTTGTGGAGAAGTTTAAAGCCGGATTTGGATACAAAAAGATTTCCCAAGCTTTAAACATCTCAAGGAGCACTGTGCAAGCAATTATATTGAAATGGAAGGAGTATCATACCACTGAAAATCTACCAAGACCCGGCCGTCCCTCCAAACTTTCATCTCAAACAAGGAGAAGACTGATCAGAGATGCAGCCAAGAGGCCCATGATCGCTCTGGATGAACTGCAGATAACTACAGCTGAGGTGGGAGAGTCTGTCCATAGGACCAAACATGTGGAAGAAGGTGCTCTGGTCAGATGAAACCAAAATCAAACTTTTTGGCCACAATGCAAAACGATATGTTTCTATTGTTGTTCTATTGTTAATTTATGTTTTCCTCATTCTACTGTTCTGTAACTAGTGATGCAACACTGACATTTCCCTGCTGTGAGACCAATAAAGGATCTCGTCATCTTAAACTTAAATGTCCATAAATGTCGTTGGCCTTAGACCCTCCTATATCAGCTAGGAAAACCATAAATATCCAGTGATACAAATATATAGATTCTTCTTTGGGTAAAAGGAGAAAGACGCCTCTCGCAGCAGATCGTGGGTGAAGCCTTCTGCCTAAAGACTCATTCATTCACAGCCAAACCCCGTCCCACTGGAACATGGAATTTGCTTCTAACATACAAATATTTTACAAAACATGGACGAGAAAGAAAGAGATGATGGAGAATCTGCAGAGAGAGATTTTCTAAAGTTTATTTGTGAAGTATATTTCTGAAGTTTGCAACAATCTGGTGTTTTTGTGCATCCTGATGAGAAATGTAAGATGAATTACTGTAAGGTTTTCTTTACAGAGTCCTGCCCCGAGGCTGGAGTTAACTTCTGTTTTTCTCCCTGAAGCTTCATTATTAGGGATGAATTTTATTTGAATATGAAATACACTTTTTTTAATTAGCAAGAAAAATTTAACGAAAAGCAGAAAACACAAAAACACCAGATTGATCTCCTGCAAACTTCAGATGACTAAACTTTAGAAACGTTCTCTGCAGATTTTCCATCTTCTCTTTTCTTTGTTGTTCTTCATGTTTTGTAAAAAAGTACTTGAGGCAAAAGACTTCACTCACAATCCGCTGCGAGAGGCGTCTTTCTCCAATTCCCCAAAGAAGAAGATTTTTATTTGTATTAAAAAATGGTTTTCATTTTAGTGTGAACTATCAACTATTTGTCCTAGACTCCCATGGAAAAGAGGTTCTTAATCTCAATGTGACTTTCCATGTTAAATAAAAGTTACATCAATAAATTAATGTTAGAAAAGATAAAACTTTAAAGATCTCACAATGAAGAAATGATCACGTCACATTTGGCATGAACAGGATCGGCCTCCACACTCCACTCTTATAGAATCATTTATTCTCAGACTCACAAATACACTTTGGATCTTTGCTTGTGAGATGTTATTATGTGAGAAATCTTGTGTTAGAGCTTTTGAAGACAGAGACGTGAGGATCAAACACAGGGAAATGGGAAACGCAACCATTATACTTGTTTACTCACCTTTGTGGAGAATGATGCTACGCTACATGCTAACAACATAATTCGATAGATCATTACAGAGGCATTGTTGGATCCTCCATAAATTCTGTATTAATCTGATGCTTTTGGACTAGACAGGATGTGGTCAAATCATGGATCTTTAATAATCAGTGGATAATGGCTGAAAGCTGAAACACCCCGTACTGCAGGATACGTTCATGTTACCCAGAAAAATGTCCCATAGAACTCAGTGTAAACTAAAACAGACCTCAGCTGACAGAGAACCTGAAAGAAAACCTACAGCTTTCATTTGGGAGGAAAGCTTCAGCCTTTGAGCCTGAAGGTTGTGGGTTCGAGCCCACTACAAGACTTTCTCCACCAACTCACAATGATGTCTACTGTTGTTTTGTCCTTGGCAAGACACTTAACCTCCGGGAACACCTGATGCCACAGTGGGGCGGCTGCGGCTGTAAAGTGCTAAACTGCCATTGTGTCCTTAGGCAAAACACTTCACCCCCAAAGTCTAGAATGAGTCTGCTGTGTGTGTGTGAATGATTGGTGGTGGACAGGGGGGCCGATGGCACATATACTGGTTGCCTCGCTTCTGTCAGTGTGCCCCAGGACAGCTGTGGCTACAGTAGTAGTTTATCACCACCGTGTATGAATGAATAATGACATATGAAGCGTCTTTGAGTGTCAAAAAAGCGCTCTATATATAAAATACTGATGCATTATTATCCTTTGGTTTTCTATAAATCCACATATTGGTGAAACAAACTCTGGTGTTTTCCTCCTGCTCTAGGTCCGCTCTGATCAGCAGCTCTGATTGGTCAGAACGCGGCCTCTCTGTGCATGTGCATGAGAGCCACTCACATGCTCGTTAGTATTTGGAGCAAAGCCTCATGGGAGCTCATCCACTGCACAGAACCGGGAGGACAGAGAAATGTCCAAACATGGGGCGAGTTCTGCTAATCCTTCGTTGCCCATGGGGGGCGCCACTGAGAACAAGCCACTGATCTGAACACCGGGCTTGGGTCAAATATACAATGACTTCTGGAGTTGGAATGCAGTTCTCTATTCTGAAAACGTTTTGCTCTGCTATGTTCCCCTAATGGACAAGTGAGGAACTACATGGCTTTGATATTATACGTTACTGTGATTAAACCCGACTCTGTATTCATACTTATTTTTGCTCACAGATCTAGTTCATCCTAAAATACCCAGAATCTAAATTTACCATGTGTTTAAATTTTCAAAGCAGACATCATTCTCTGGCTGCAGCTGTGATCTGTCCTGTCTGCTGCCTCTGCCTCAAAACCCTCTGATTCATGACACAGGATTGACCCACTTACACAGGACCAAATGAAGAGTTCAAAAACAGAGAAGGTCCATCAGAAAACAATATTTAAAAGATGTATATTTTGCATTTTACCAAGTTGTTTTTTGGTAAGCCGGTCCCACACAAATACAGTGTCTAGAGTAAAACTTTTGGACACATTTTAAGGACAGAGACCATAAAAGGATCAGCCTAGACTTAAATATGGGATTGGCAACTTGTTAAGAAATAAGGTCTGACCCATTTCGACACATTCTATTGTATGTCTTCAGAGTATATAAAACAAATATACTGTATTCACATAATTCATGTCTGCTTCCACATCATCCTCATCCTTCCTCGCTTTTCCGTCTCCTTTTTATGACCTATGTGACTTAAACTGTGACTTAAAGTGTTTTGACCTTGGTCTGTAGAAATGCGCTATATAAATAAAGATTACTTATGTACTTAAAGGTTTATAGGAGGATTTTAAGAAAGAAAGACCCTCCCCACTTTTGAACATAACTTTCTGGTCTCACGTATCACCGGATTGATTGACAATTAGGAGGACCAATAGTGTTGATGATCCACCTGGAAGTACAAAATCCGCCTAAATACTGTACCTTTAAGTGACATCAAATTATCTGAGAAATATGCAAAATGTTACTTGACTGAACCTAGAGCCATTTGGCAAAAGGTACGACCAATCGCGCATACAAGGATGAGGAAGGATGTTTTATTTCCTGTCAGACCTACTGTATGAAGCTAAGAAGGGAAGGGCCTGGTCAGTACTGTGATGGGAGACCTCTGGTAACAATTTTCAGCCCAGTGACTTGGACTTAGAGCTAAGTGGTCATTTCAGCTTAACTTTTTTCTCTGAAATAGTGGCTCTAAAAATAATAACTAGTGGTGAACTCTATGGTGATGTCAGTACTTGGTTAGTCAGCTGCAAATACACTGCAAAAACTTATGAAAGCCAAGTCAAAAATTGCTCAAATTTGACTAAATATATATTTTCTTCATTCTAGCTTGAAACACATTTTTCCAATGGCACAAAACAAAATGATCTTGTTGTAAAAAATATAAGAAATGTCTCTCTTGGAGCGAGGACATAAAGCAACAGTTCTTGAAATAAGACTAAATGTTTTTGTCTCATTGGAGAATCTGGTTTTAACACAGAACTAACTAAGATTATGATAAAAAACACTCAATTCTTACCTCATTTTTTATAATTTTTTGCAGTGTACGACCTGTGCTTCAAACACATCCTGCTCTTATAGATTGTGGTTGTGTGACATCTCAGGATCATTTCTTCTAATTAAATCCCATCACATTTAAAAGATTTCCTTCCCTACAGCCTCTTATCACCTCACGACTTGGCAAATGCATTTCTGTTTTACTCCGTGGACGTTATTGTCTCTGGAACATTCACGAGATATAGTTACACTTCTATTCTCCGCTGCGCCGCACTTCGGCACAGGCGCCGCTGATATATTGGACAATAACCGCGTTCCTGTTTCCCATAGCAATAAAAATAATAAAGAAAGTCGTGACGGAGGCGGCAAAGTTCACCGCGCTCTGACCGTGTGTCGCCTTTTGCATCGTAGAGAAATACACAGGGTTTTAATTTCAAACATTAGCGACAGAGTTATTGAGGCGAAAGCACAGAGCCGTGAAAGGTCAATAAGAACCAAAGTGGAAAAAAGTAGGTTTTAATATGACGGGACTGTGTATCAGTACGTTTCAATATGTTTTATGGCAGGAGTTTGAATTAATATTTAAGATGAGTGATTCCCAAACTGCTGACCTGGGCCATTGGAAACACTATAAAGCTGTTGCTGTAAGTATAAAGACAAATTGAAGTGAAATTGAAAGACATTTTATTGCCTGGTTTTATATGTATCCCTCTTTGAAGTTTATAAATCTCAAAGTTGATCGACTCCAACTCAGAGAAAGTGCACAAACTCTTCTGATCAAGTCACGCTTAAAGCTGGGCGACCTGACTTTCAAACCGCAAAAACATTTGACTATGCAATAAAATCAGTCTCACTAGTTTTCCAAGTTTTCCCTGTCATATTTTTCAGAGCATTTTTTATTCTATATTGTGGAATATTTGTATTATTGTTCTCTCTTCCTACATTGGCATTTTGTGTTGTTTTTTTTTTTTATTAACATTTTATGCAGCATGTCTGTGTGTGTGTGTGTGTGTGTGTGTGTGTGTGTGTGTGTGTGTGTCTGTGTGTGTGTGTGTTTGTGTGCACATGCTCTTTAGGTTGCTATTATGTCGGTGTGTTTGATCATATTTTTACGTGTCCGCTGAGGAAATGAGCAAAGGGTGTAGATGGGTGTAGAAGACAACAATAGTGGTGGTTGCCATGACTAAAATTAAACCAGAGCGAAGTGGCCGAAGGGACTATAATTTATTTGCTTTGTAACCAAGTGAAAGGATTTATTAAACCCTAACTGAGGCTTTCAAACCGCTAACATAGTGAGTGAGTAAGTAATATTTATTTATATAGCGCCTTTCACAGACTGGAGTCACAAACAGGTTTACAATTGTGGGCATTTGTCTCTCACCCCACACAGAGATGGGAGCGCGGTCGCCAGTTCAGGAGGCCAGACCTATTCTACATGTTTTAGTGGTAGGGGTAACCAGAGTACCTGGAGGAAATCTACGCAGACACAGGGAGAACATGCAAACTCCACTCAGAAAGGACCTGTTCCAACCGGGATTCGAACCTAGGACCTTCTTGCTGAGAAGTGAGAGTGCTATCCACTCAGCCACCGTACCGACATGTAACTAGCTCTAGAAACTTAAACACAGACATCTCTTTCTTTGCTGTATGATAATAGCCCTTTTCGAGCTGATTTTTTGTCAATAAAACTAAATCTACTGAAAATGTATAGTGTGTGTTTTTTGTGTACTTGTGTGTGTCTCTTCATCTTTTGGATAACTGGATATGTGTTGTTTTCTTTAGGACCTGGCGCCCCCACCGTGATGCTGCACAGCCTGGACACATCAAGTAAGAACCACTCACTCTTTCTTCCATCCGTATATTTTATAGGGCTGTCAAACAATTAATTTTTTTAATCGAGTTAATTACAGCTTAAAAATATATTAATTGTAATTAATCGCATTTCAAACTATTGGCAAAATTATGCCATATTTTTCTGTAAATGGTTGTTTGAATGGAAAGATAGTGAACATATGTACTGTATTTTTTTGTTATAACAATAAATCCATATAAAATGGAATTACTGTAACATTATTAACATTCTGTCTTTCTGTTTAGACTCAGACCAAAATAGTCTGAAGCAGAATGTCATTCAATCTGTTTGATTTGCTCACACCATTACTTTTTTTAGAACAACCAACATGAACTGGTAGTGGAAGGGAAAATTAGGTACCTCAGCTTTAATTTAGCGAGTGCGCTTCGGGAGAAGACACGGAGGAGACTGAGGCTCCGCAGTCCAGCTTCAGCGCTCTACATATTGTGTGCATCGGTTACGCAAAGACATGTACGCACACTAGAGAATAGTTCTGTGCGTGGTCTTGGATATGATCCCATTACGCAGCGCCGCTCGCCGTGATCACAGCCGCTGGAAGTGGGACCTGCTGTCCAGAGCGCTGTGGCGCCCGCAGCTCATCATGCAGAGTTCATACAGGAAACTACAAGTGCCCCGCGGTCACGCGTGTATTTTTTTTTCAAAACTTGAATTCCCAGAGGGCCTACCTGCTCTGTCCCCATCTTACACATGTTATTGTATATTTGTTAGGGTGGTTTTGTTGGGTTTATTAATTAGGGTTGGAATTTATTGGGGTGGGTGGATGGTGTTTGGGGATATGGTATTGTTGTTATTTAAGGTGTAATTGTAATAAGGATAAGAATTTGATAGGAAAGTGGGGGGGGGTTTGTAGGTATGGTTTGTGTAATTGGTTTATTTATATGTGAGTAGAGTTGTGGTATGTTTGTTGATTATGGGGTGTGGGGGGAGATTGAGGAGAGGGTGAAGAAGTTAGGGAGGTGTATGAAGAGGTGTGTGGGTTATTGAGAGGGGGGTTAGTTATGTGGGGGAGTGGTAAATGGGGATTTGTATGGTGATGATAGGAGAATGAGTGATAGGGGGTAAGGGTAATTATTGATGGTGAAGGGTGAGTTGAATTGGGGGTAGTGGTGGTTGTTAGGTATAGATGTTAGTGGGGGGGTGAGGATTGGGGAGGGTAGTTTTGTGGGAGTGTTATTGAAGTGAGAGGGTGTTTGTGTTTTAAGGGGGTGAGGTTGATTAGGTTTTGTTGTTGTGTTTGTATTGTGTGGTTGGTTATATTTTGAGGTTATGGGTATTATATATTATAATGTGGTTAGTTAGGGTGGTATTGTGGTTTTAAATATAGGTGTGTAGGAGGTTGGTTTGATAAGTAGGGGGATATGTAGGAGAAATGGGGTGTATGGGGAGGTAGGGGGTAAAGTGGGGGGATGATAAGTAAAGATAAGAGAAATGTTGAGTAAGGGGAAAGATATGTATATAGAATATGGGGGGGGGGGGGGATAGAGAGAGAGAAAGGTTGTGTTTAAGTGTGGGGGTGGGTTTTGTTAAGGGAATTTGTGGGGAATTGAATTGAATTGAGTGGGGGAGTTGGAGGGGGATGGTTGAGGTTATAGGTTAAGGTTTATGGTGGAAGATATAGGGGAGGGTAAGAAGGGGAGGAATATGGGTGGATGGGGGGGGGTTGATGATTGTGGAAAGGTGGGGATTGAGGTTTTAAAGTGATGGTGGTGGGTAATATTTAATTGAGTTGGGAGTTGAAGTTTAGGTATATTTTATGGGATTTGAAAGGGGGGTGTAATTGGAGGAGATGTGTAAGAGAGAGGAGTAAAAAGAATGATAAGGGGGGGAGTAAGAGAATGAGAGTGTTATTTAAGTGGGTATGGAGAGGTAGAAAGGAGGTTGGAGTGTTATAGGGTAAGTAAATGAGATGTAAGTAGGAGGGTGGTATAAGGATGTGAGTAATTGGGGGACAAGGAGGTGGGTTTAATGAGGGAGAGAAGAAGTGGGGATTGAGGAATGGAGGAGAAAAGGAGGGGAGATGATATGAGGGGTAGGAAAGGAGTAGGTTTAAGATTAGAAGGAGGGGGGAAAGGGGAGAGATGGGAGAATAGAGGGAGGTAAATGGGTGGGAGAGGGTAAAGAGGGGGGGGGAAAAAAGTAGGGGGGGTAAGAAGGATGGAGAATAGATTAAAAGAAGAGGAGATAAAAAGGAATTGGAGGGTGGGGAGAGAGGGAGAAAGAGGGTGTGGGTGAAAGAAGATGGTGGGGGGGATAGGGAGTTTATTGGGGGGGATTTTGGGTGGGGAAAAAAAAGAAGGGAAGAGGAGAGGAGAATGAGGTAAGATGAGTGTGTTGTTGTTGTTGTTGGAGAATGTGTTAGGGTAGATGGGGTGATGGGTGGGGATTTTATAGAAGAGAAGAAGGGGTGTGATTGTTGGGATGGAGGAGGAGAGAGAAGATGGATTGAGAATGGTTATTGGGATAAGATAGTTAGTTGGTGGAGTGGTGGTTTTATTATTAATTGTGAAGTTTGTGATTTTAGTTTAGGTTGGGGGGGGTGGTGGGGGGGTGATTGTGTTTGAGATGGGTTAAGGATGGGGGATTTTAATTGAAGGGGAATTGGGAAGAATTATGGGGTGGGAAGGAGATAATGGTGGAGAGTGGGTGGGGTTGTGTTTAGATGAGGTTGGGGGATTGGGTTGGGGTTAAAATTGATGGTGGAAGTTGGGGGGTTTATTTAGAAAGAGTTTTGGTAATGTGTAAGGAGTTGGGGGGGGGGGGGTTTTTAATAAGTTGGGGGGGGTTAGTTATTTAGGGGGTTTGAGTGGTTTAGTGGGATTTGTAAGATGTTGGGTTGGGTTTTGGGGGGGGTGAATATTTTGTTTGGATTATTTATTTTGGATTATAGGGGTAGGGGAAGAGGGGGGGGGGGAGGATTAAGAGAGAGGTGATAAAATTTGAATATGATGGTATTAGGGTTTTAGAGGTTGTTGTAAGTTGTAGATTTAGTGTAGTGTATAGGGTTGGGTTTATTTTTGTGTTATTGGTTATGGTTTTTTTGTGTTTAGTATAGTTAATAGGAGGGGTGGGGAGAGTTATATGGGTTATTAGTTTTAGTGTTTTTAGGTGAATTTAAGTGGTTTGTTAGGGGGTGTGGGTTTAAATGTGTGTGTAAATATATTATATTGAATATGGGTGGTATATAGGGAAAAAGGTAGGGGTAGGTTTATGGGAGGTTGGATGGTGGGGGAGAGGTGGTGGGGTTTTGTATATTTTTTTTGGTTAGGTGGTGGGGATGTGGAGGGGGGGGGTGGTATTTATTAGGTGTGTGGAGGGGGGTGGTGAGTAGGGGTGTGATGATATTGGGGGGGTTGTAATGGGTTATGGAATGGGAGGGGGTAAGTTTGGGGGAGTTGGGTGGGTATGTGGGTGTGTAATGGGTGTAGGGGGGTATAGTATGTGTTGATTGTAGGGTAAGGGGTAGGGTAATTTGTGGGGGGTGGTGTTAGTGTTGGGGGGGTATAGGTAGTGGAATAAGGAGGGGGGGGGTTGTGGTTGGAAATAGGGTAGATTTTGTGGAGTTGAGGTGATGTAGGGTGTGGAGTTGTTGGTTTAGGGGAGTTTTATTGGAGATTTTGTGTGAGATGGGATTGATTTTTTGTAGTTATTTTTATGGGGGAAAAATGGGGAAGAGGGATAAGTGGTTGTTTTTGTGTTTTAAGGTGGTGGTATTTTGTGTGGGGAATGGTTGATAGGTTTGTATTTTTTTTGTAGGGGAGGGTTATGGGGGGGGTGAAGATGTTGGTTGTGGTTTAGGGGGGGGGAAGTGGGAGGAGGGGTGGGGGGGGGTGGGATTTGTGGGGGGGGGTATAAGAGGTTTGGTAGGTTGTAGAATGAAGAGAATTGGGTGGGTTATGAAGATGGATGTGATGAGAGAGGTAGAGGGATGGGAGAGAGGTAGTTTGATTAGAGAATAGGAGATGGGGGGAGTTTGGGGAGGGATAGGGGTGTGAATTGATATATAGGATATAGAGGGAAATTGAGTTATTGAAAAGAAATAGAGAAAGAGGTAGAGTTATTTATGGGTTGGGGGTGGGGGAGGGAGGGATGGTGGGAAGGTGAGAGAGATGTAATGGAGAGAGAGAGAGAGAGATTGTATGGATATAATTTAGGAGGGGGGTATGATATTGAGGATTGGATGTGGGAATTTGGGTGTTGAAGATGGGAGAGTAGTTTTATGGTATGGGTAGTTTGGTGGGGGTGGGGGTATTGGGTATGGATTTGTATGGTGTGTATGTTATTAGGAGGGATTGTAGTGGTGTAGTATTGGGTGGGGTAATGGGGTGGGAGGTGGGGTATATGTGTAATATGTGGGTGGAAAAGGAGTTTTATTAGGGATTGGGGGTTTATAATTTTAGAGGGGTTAGATATTAAGGATGTGGATGTTATGGGATTGGGTGGGTTGTGTTTTGGAAAGGATGGGGGGGAAGAGTTTTTTTTTGGGGAGGATAGAATGGATGGTGTGGGTTGTTTGTTTGGAAGGTTGATTGGTTTGGGGAAATAGTTGGTGGTATGGTTAAGTGAAAAATAGAATGGGGGAGAGGAAGGTGGGGAAAAGAAGTCTGTGGGGGGATTGAGTAAGAGTTTAGGTGGTTGTGAGTTTGGGGATGTAAGGATTGGGGTGATAGAATGAAAATTTTGTAAGGGGGGGGGGGGGGGTAGAGTGGTTAGGGTGGGGGGGGTGTGTTGGGGGGTGTATGTAAGATAATGGAGAAGAGTTATGTATGTATGGTATGCAATTATAGAGAATGATAGATTGATGTAATGTGTGGTATGGAGGTTTAGATATTGTATGGTGATTGGGGTGGATGTTAATGGGGAGGGGAGAGATATATGAGGGTAGAGAGGTGGAGGAAGGGATGTTTGGAGAGGTTGGAAAGTGAGAGGATAGTGTGGTAAGGGGAATGAGATGGTT